CAACATAGGCCACATCAGTGGGTTCCCTGCAAAGAGTGCCAGAGCCATAAGTGGAGTGTGAGCTGAAGGCCCTGTTATCCGTGTGTCTAGAATCAGACATGTTGTTCTGCATGGCGGGAAAGCAGCGTAGCTCAGAGTACGAGGCAAGACCTCAGATACTCACAAACCCAAACACTAGCAAGAAGTAGGGTCAGACAGTAGGAGCCGACTGAGTCACTGTAAGGTGAGCAGTAGGAATGAACAGAGGATCCAACTTCCCCATGTAAGCTGCATCAGCAATGGAAAGATGTTTGGCAGGGGAAAAAAAAAAAAAAACACAGAGCACGTGCAACACTCCACCCAGTAGCACTCAGTACTTCATGGTTACCCCTTCCACAGCAAAACCAGCACCAAATGAATAATACCTCCTATTGCTCAGCAAAAATCAACACAAAATCTGGTGCAGCTGTGCATGGTAACCAATCAGCGTCTAACTTCTGTTTGTTTAATTAAAATGCTACTAAACCCACAACAGTGAAATCAGTCTGTATATACAGTAAAGCATGCTTGTTATACTCACTGTAGAACCTAAGGGGTTAATCCTCCGCATGGTGTAAAAAGGCGGTTTGATCCTGTGTTCTCTGATCCCCAATCAAACTGCCATAGTACACAGCAGCAGTGGGAGGTCTGCACCACATGCTCTGTTTGATGTGTACTGCTAGAGGGTTTTTTTTTTTTTTTGGGGGGGGGGGGGGGGGTGCATGTGATCAGCACAGGGCCAATCAGCACTGCCTGGACAGCGGGTCAGGGGTCATAAAGCCTCAAAGCCCCCAAGGCCAGACTGGGGAAAGCCTAGTCCAGACAGCTGCATTTAGAGACCAGCTCAAGCAGAGAAGTCTTGAGTGGAGAAAACAATCACGGGAAGAGCTGGCAAACAAAGGCTTAGACTTAAAAAAAAAAAAAAAAAAAATCCATTGTCCTAGGATACTGGCAAAACCTGAGGCATACTGGTAGTAAACTTATAATAAAGCTTACCTGTAGGTCAAATGAATACCTCCTAAACTTGCAGTGTTTAGGAGATATTCTCTTTCCTAAAGCAGGCGCATACGCTCTGAAGGAACACCATACCCGTGTCGTTCCTTCAGAGCTGTGTGCTGTGACCTGGGACTCCCGCGTGCATGCACAGGAGTGACGTCATCGCGTCTTGGCCTGTCAGACGGCTGGAGATCACGAACCCGGAAGGACCAGGTGAAGATGGAAGCCTCTGCAGCAGTCACAGCGCACCGTTGGAGGGCTTCGTTTTAAGGTAAGTTTCACATAATATACTATTATGCGATGCACACTAGCATATTATGTCATTACCTTGCAGGGAACGTTTTTTTTTCCTTTCTTTTCTAGCACTTCAAGAGGGGTGGCCAAAAATTTAGTTTGACAGTGTACAATCCTGTAGAAGACAGTATAAGCCTTTGTGTGTCCCTCAATGGACACGACAGACAGAGCCCCCCCCCCCCCAGCTCAAATCGGATCCTGTCTGCACAAAGACAATCCCCTGCACTCCCTCCCCAAACCTCATCTTTGACCCTTCCTGACTGTACAGATACAACTGACCCCCTCCTCATCAGCTCATCTCTGACCCACCCCTCCGCATCACTTACAGCCAGGTGTGGTGGCTCCTGGACAATCTGTTGGTAGCGCTGGAGCAGCTGCTGCATGGCGCTGTGTTTCTGCATGATGCCCTGGTACTGGAACCCAAGGCGGTGTTGTTCATGCTGCTGCCAGTGAGCAGCCGCTTCCTGCAGGGTCTTTAGCCTCTGAGCTTGTTCTGGATCCTCGGTCAGATTTATACCGGACTGGGGGAAAAAAAGAAAAAAAAAAAGGAAGAGGTCAGAACACATGGAAGAAAACATTCCCAGCACATCACATTCACACAGCTCTGATCACACACACAGGCCAATATAATGTCCACTCTGCTTACACAAGGTAGTCACATTTATGGTTACCATTTGTGTCATCTTCTTAACCACCGCCCGCCCGCCATATAGTAATATGATGGACGCAAGGTGGTTCTCTCTTTCTGAGATGACGTCATATGACGTCCTCCCATTCTCACTGCGCATGTGCGGCTCCCGGTGGTGCGCTGTGTTCCTCGGACACAGCCGATCCACGATCCACGGAAAGAGCCGAAGATGTCGGCTCGGTCACTTGATCAGCTGTGTCTAACCACAGCTGATCACATGTAAACAGGGAAATGCCAGTTATCGGCATTTCTCTCCTCTCGAGCTGTCACGCTGACAGCTCGAGAGGAGGGGACAGCCGGTAATCGGCATTCCGTGGAGGGGACATGTACACTGATCATCAGAGCATTGATGATCAGTGTGCCATGATGATCAGTGTAGCCCCAGCAGTGCTACCTGTCAGTGCTCATCAGTGCCAATCAATGCCACATCAGTGCACATCAATGCCACATATCAGTGCCCATCTGAGCTGCTTTTCAGTGTCACCCAACAGTGCCCGTCAGTGCCGCCTAACAGTGCCCGTCAGTGCCGCCTAACAGTGCCCGTCAGTGCCGCCTAACAGTGCCCGTCAGTGCCGCCTAACAGTGCCCGTCAGTGCCGCCTAACAGTGCCCGTCAGTGCCTCCTCCTCAGTGCCACCTATCAGTGCAGCCTATCAGTGCCCATCACTGCAGCCTCATTAGCGCACATCAGTGAAGGAGAAAAATAACTTATTTACAAAATTTTATAACAAAAACTAAGAAAAAAACTTTTTTTTTTTTCAAATTTGCAGTGGTTTTTGGTTTAAGAAAAAATAAAAAACCCAGAGTTGATTAAATACCACCAAAATAAAGCTGTCACAAAAAAATGATAAAAATTTCATATGGGTACAGTGTTGCATGACCGCGCAATCGTCAAAGTGCAACAGCTCTGAAAGCTGGAAATTGGCCTGGGCAGGAAGGGGGTATAAATGCCCTGTAGGCTTGTGATTAAAGTTTATTTTAACCCCAACAATTAGCTTTTTTTCTTATTTGCTCTCTTTTGGTGTGTTAAATATACAATTGTGTTTCATTCTAGCTGTTCAATCAAAAAAAACAAAAGAAAACTGTTGATCCTGTCAGGAATAACTTCCCGTGTTGCACTCTTATCAGCTAATAGCGTTCACAGAAAACTCTGGACAATAGAATACCTTTCAATGTGGAGATGGGGAGATGTTCTGTAGTCCTGTTCTAGGGTACGCCTCCATAGATGTTGTACGGCAAGTAAGCATTGCCATGCTAGGACAGGAAGTGTGTTACTTGTCAGATCACCAGGTGAAAATAAAGGAGCAAAAAGCTGACAGCACTGCACAGGTCAGCACAGCAGTGGTTAGCTCCCTATCTCCAAGTACGATAGGGAATATTCCAGGGGTCCACAAGTTGATAATGTAAGGGTACGCTCACTAGATCTATTTTTACTTTTTATGGATTAACAACTACACTGAATGAGTGATTCATATTCCAGCCTAGAGTTCAGCTTTAACCATCTGCTGTTCAGCGACGTACCAGTCACTAGACTGAAAGGGTGATATGTTGGCCATTGCCGCAGTGATGGGCAGCACAGTGGCTAACTGGTTAGCACTTCCGCCTGGCAGTACTAGGGTCGTTGGTTCGAATCCCAGCCACGGCACCTCCTGCCTGGAGTTTGCAGGTTCTATGAATGTGAGTTAGGGATCTTAGATTGTATGCCCCTTGAGGGTTAGGGACTGATGTGAATGTACAATATATATGTAAAGCGCTGCGTAAATTGACGGCGCTATATAAGTACCTGAAATAAATAAAATGACCAAGATATCATCATTGTCAGGCAACGATTCCCTTCACTGGAAAAGTAATCGTAGCGGCTATACAGTCCCTGGATTACACTTACAGGTGGAGTAAGGGGGTCCCCTTCCCTTCTTCCACCGCCTTTACCGGGCTCTACCAAGCGATCGGTAAGGATGCAGCCGGTGGAATCCAGTGGGAAACATTTAGATGAACTGATGTTATCCTTTCCCACCTTGTGACATCAGAAACTGGAAGCGGCAAGGATTTGGTCACTTCCAGTGTTGGTTCTTTGTTTACAAGTGGTTACCGGCTTGTGAAAACATCAGATCAAACCGATCAGATGATTTGGAGGCCAGTGGAGACATCGGGGGTCTAACAGACCCTGGATCTCTCCATAAAGAGGACCTGTCCTGGCCCTATGCCATCACAAGGGATGTTCAGCCTCTGGGGTCAGCAATGAAAGTGACCCAAAAAAAAAAATGTATACAGATAAAGTGTAAAAATGCCTTGTTTTTTTTATTTTTAAAGTGCCCCCACGCACAAATGCAATCACACGTCGGTCCTGCACAGATACGAAAATGGTGATCGCACCACACATGCGAGGCGTGGCCGCGAACATCAGAGCAATAATTCGAGCTCCAGACCTCCTGTGCAGCTGTAAACTGGTAACCGTAAAGAACTTTAAAGTGACTCTTATGGAGATTTTTACATACCGTAGTTTTGGTGCTGTTCCACGGGTGTACGCAATTTTAAAGCGTGACATTTGTCATCTATTTTCTCAGCATAATATACCTTCTATAATTTACCAAGAAATTGGGTATTATATTGGGATTAACAACACAAATAATTTGCGCTAGTAAATAAATATTACAATTATACCTGTGAACAAAGAAAATATAAAAATGTTAACCATGTGAGTAATTATAAATACATAATTGAAAAAAAAAAATTTTATATATAAAAAAAAAAAAAAAAAAGTGTCCAAAAACAGTCCAAATTTAAGATGTGTAATACAAATCCGAAGAAAAGTGCACAAAAAATGTGACAATCCACCACCAAAAGCACTAAATAAACTCACCAGAGCTATAAAAAACTGAAGCATATATTGCTCTGGGGGCGATGGTATTAGCAGAGTAATGGACCACTCATGGATGTGTCTTCAGGGAGTAATATTCTGCAGAAACCAGCTCCAAGCAGACCAATTTCAATGAAGCAATGCTCTATAATTAAATACCACTGAGGAAATCCACTTCTCCAAGAGATCACTTTAACCACTTCCCGACCGGCCGTTGCATATAAACGGCCGGACGGTGGCAGTGCAGGTTCGGGTGGCCCTGGGAGCGCGTAGCACCGCGATCCGGTGCCCGCTATGTCCTCTGGACACAGTGAAACACCGATCGTCGGACGGGACCTCTGTACGAGGTCCCAATCATGTGATCACTGATTGGCCAATCAGTGATCACATGCAAAGTAGTAAGCAAGATGTCACTTGTGACATCATTGCTTACTACGTGTGAAACCTATGAATGATCACAGAGGTCACATGGTACAAGCCTATTCACAACAGCCTTGTACCATGTGACAAGCTGTGACCAATCACAGCTCAGTACTTCTCAATGAGTGCAAGAATGCACACAGAGAGAAAGAGAAATTATTGCTTTTACATCCTATATGGGTGTAAAAAAAAAAAATCTTCATCACCCCCCACAAGTAGTACAGTGTCACCATGGTGACACTGCGCTGCTAGGGTGACAGTATGTAAAAAAAAAAAAATATATAAAAAAAAAAAATAAAATAAAAATGTAAAAAAAATGTTTAAAAATTATAATTTTTGGTTATAAACTAATTTGGATTTTTTTTTTTACTAAAAAGATAACGGAATAAATTTTGGCAAAGATTTATGATGAAATATTTATTTGCAAAATTTTATAAAAAAAAAAATTTTTTTTCAAAATTTCTGGACTTTTTCATTTACATAGCAAAAAAAAAAAAAATCCCAGCGGTGAATAAATACCACCAAAATAAAGCTTTATCTGTCTCAAAAAAATGGTAAAAAATTAATTTGGGTACAGTGTTGCATGACCGCGCAATTGTCATTCAAAGTGTGATAGCGCTGAAAGCTGAAAATTGCCCTGGTCAGGAAGGGGGTAGAAGTGTCCGGACTGGAAGTGGTTAATCGTATCCAGAAGGGGTAATACCAGACACTCGGAAGAAAAAACAAAAACTTCATGGTGCAGTATTATTAAAAAACAGCTTCATTTATTATGCACTCATTGCATTTATCTCAAAGGGTGTCCCAGCCGACATCAGCGTTAACAGCATATAGGAATCAGAATGAAACGAACCCAGCCACTCGGCACATGCGCAGTAGATCGCTGGGAAACATAATGACGTCACATCAATCAAGCCCCGCCCTACGCGTTTCGTCATCGACGTCCTCACGAAGCTCCTCAGTGGTATTTAATTATAGAGCATTGCTTCATTGAAATTGGTCTGCTTGGAGCTGGTTTCTGCAGAATAATACTCCCTGAAGACACATCCATGAGTGGTTCATTACTCTGCTAATACCATCGCCCCCAGAAAAATATATGCTTCAGTTTTTTATAGCTCTGGTGAGTTTATTTAGTGCTTTTGGTGGTGGATTGTCACATTTTTTGTGCACTTTTCTTCGGATTTGTATTACACATCTTAAATTTGGACTGTTTTTAGACACTTTTTTTATATATAAAATTTTTTTTTTTTAATTATGTATTTATAATTATTACTCACATGGTTAATATTTTTATATTTTCTTTGTTCACAGGTATAATTGTAATATTTATTTACTAGCGCAAATTACTTTTGTGTTGTTTTGTACACTTTATTAATTTATGGTGGATTTTCCAGCTGGTATATCAGTTAGTGACCCACATTTTTCTCTCTCCATAGGCGCCATTATATTTATTTACTATTATATTGGGATTGATTTACTAAAGGCAAATATACTGTGCACTGCAAGCACAGCTGCTCCAGAGCTTAGTAAATGAGGCAAAGCTTATTAAAGAATATCCAATCACATGTAAGGAAAATTAAAAAAAAAAAAAAAACAGCATTTTTGCTTAGACATGATTGGATAGAAATCAGCAGAGCTTCCCATAATTTCAGAGACTCCCATCAGATCTGGAGCAACTGTACTTACAGTGCACAGACTATTTGCCTTTAGTACATCAACCCCATTCTGTTTTTGAGCATTAAAATTCATTAAAGTGCATTTTTTCCAAAAAATATGTATTTGAAAAACCGCTGTGCAAATACTGTGTGACACAAAAATACGTAACACCCACCATTTTATTTTTCAGGGTCTCTGATTAAAAAAATTTATATTTTTTGGAGGGTTCCAAGTAGTTTTCTAGCAAAAACATGATTTATACATGTAGGAGAGAAATGTCAGAATTGGCCTGGACTGGAAGGTGTTAAAAACACCTGATGTGAGAGAACTAGCCGAGCAAAAAACACTAGATGCCTGGCTGCCCCCCACATTCTGTACTTTGAGTTATTGACCCCTAATAAGCATGCAGCACTTGAAGTCAGCTCCTCAGTCCAAATACTTTGTTCCAGGACAGTGACTGAGAGGACTGCAGCTAGAAGAGCAGCATGACAGGCTAATCCAGCCGTAACAAGGTTACATGGGCAGATGGCCCTCTCTTCCACTGTCACATACTGAGCTTACCGCAACATTCTCCACTGGTAATGGCGGCTTGGCTTCCTCCACAGGAGGAGGTGGAGGCTGCTGGGAAGGAGGTGCTGCAACATATCCTGCAGAAGGTGGCACCACAGTCTCAAACACAGGAGGAGGGGCTTCCCTACCATGGCTCTTGGCTTTTTGCTGTAGGTTTAGCAGGTGCTGATTGTACCAATACTGCTGCTGGTCCTACAAGAATCCAACACAACACATCACCGCATGCCCATCATCCAACAGTCATCCAACCCCACTCACTAGCCCATCAACCCCCAGTGATCCAACCCTATACATTACTAGCTCATCAGCCAACAGTCATCCAACCCCATACACTACTAGCCCATTACCCAACCCCATTCACACCACTCACCCAACCCCACATTCACTACTAGCCCATCACCCAACACTCATCCAATCCAACCCCATACACTATTAGCCCAAGAACACTTATCCAACTCCAAATCACTAGGCCATCATCTACTCACTAATCCAACCCAATACATTACTAGCCCATCACCAAACACTCATCCAATCCAACCCCATTCACTACTAGCCCATCAACACCACTCATCCAACCCCACATTCACTACTAGCCCATCAACAACACTCATCCAACTCCAATCACTAGGTCATCATCTCACTGATCCAAACCAATACATTACTAGCACATCACCCAACAGTCATCCAACCCCATTCACTACTAGCCCATCACCCAACACTCATCCAATCCAACCCCATACACTATTAGCCCATCAACAACACGTATCCAACCCCATTCACTAGGCCATCATCTATTCACTGATCCAAACCAATACATTACTAGCCCATCACCAAACACTCATCCAATCCAACTCCATACACTATTAGCCCATCAACACTCATCCAATCCAACCCCATACACTGTTAGCCCATCAACACTCATCCAATCCAACCCCATACACTGTTAGCCCATCAACACTCATCCAATCCAGACCCATAAACTATTAGCCCATCAACACTCATCCAATCCAACCCCATACACTATTAGCCCATCAACACTCATCCAATCCAACCCCATAAACTATTAGCCCATCAACACTCATCCAATCCAACCCCATACACTATTAGCCCATCAACAACACTCATCCAACCCCAATCACTAGGCCATCATCTCCTCACTGATCCAACCGAATACATAACTAGCCCATCACCAAACACTCATCCAATCCCATTCACTACTAAATTCCAGATCCTTCCAATAACACATATACACAGAGCTGTACGGTAAACTATAGAAACCTGACCACAGATTGTGCAGTCTTCTCAGAAAAGGGTAAAGTCTCACCCGCTCGCCCAGGACAATTTCACAGGAGATCCCTCTTATCTGCTCAAGACCCTCTTCTGTCTGCTTACCCATGACCCTTTTACAGGGGACTCCTCATCCACTCACCCAGGACCCTCTCACAGGGGATCCCTCTTGTCTGCTTGCCCAGGATGCTCTCACAGGGGATCCCTCTTGCCCACCTGCCCAGGACTCTCTCACATGGAACCTTCGTGTCCACCCACCAAGATCCCTCATCTGCTTGCCCAGGACCCTCTTGTCTGTTCACCAAGGACCCTCGCATCCACCTGCCCAGGACCCTCTCACAGGAGATGCCTCTCATCTGCTCACCACGGACCCTCTTGCAGGGGATTATTCTCTTCCACCCGGGAAGGACCCTCTCATCCACTTGCCACAGATCCTTTCACTGGGGATCCCTCTCATCCACCTGGGCAAAGACCCTCTCACATGGGATCCCACCATGGACCCTCTGGTCTGCTCACCCAGGGGATCCCGTTCATCCACCCACCATGGACCCTCTTGCCCACCCGACCAGGACGACCTTGTCCACTGTTCCAAACCCTCTCACAGGGAATCCCTCTTGTTCACCCATCCAGGAACTTCTCTCGTCTGCTTGCCCAGGACCCTCTCACAAGGGGATTCCTCTCGCCCACCGAAGCAGGGTTCTCTCACAGGGGATCCCCCTCGTCCGCCCGCTCGGGACCCTCTCACAAGGGGATCCCGCTCGGGACCCTCTCACGGGGGGATCCAGCTCGCCCGGGACCCTCTCACGGGGGGATCCAGCTCGCCCGGGACCCTCTCACGGGGGGATCCAGCTCGCCCGGGACCCTCTCACGGGGGGATCCAGCTCGCCCGGGACCCTCTCACGGGGGGATCCAGCTCGCCCGGGACCCTCTCACGGGGGGATCCAGCTCGCCCGGGACCCTCTCACGGAGGATTCTACTCTTCCACCGGGGCAGGACCCTTTCATCCACCCACCATGGACCCTCTCGTCTGCTCGCCACGGACTCTCTAACTGGGGATCCCTCTCTTCCATTCACCTTTTCCCTCCCATTGAGGACCCCTTTTCTCTGACTCCGGACCCCCAGGGACCCCTCTCATCCATTCCAGAGTCACGCCATGACTTACCTCCAGGGCAGCGTTGTTGCTGGAGGGGGCACTGTCAGGTGGGGGCGGCGGTGGCTGTTGATCGGTTGCAGGGGGTGGTGGGGGCGGTTTTTCGGTGTCTGGAGGCAGTGCCGGGGACTGGTACCCCGGAGGGGGCACATTATGGCTGTAGGGGGGAGGATAGGGGT